GTGGCACCACTTGGATGTGTAGTGGTATTTTTTAGTTACATCTGAAATGGTAAGTTCTATTCTCATTATGTTGCTGGAGACTCAAGGATGTGTCAAAATGCACTGTAAGCTTAATACATCATCTTTAAATGAAGGGTAGCAAAGCCAAAGCACTTTTAGGTGATCTGAGTTTGAGGAATGTCCGAGAAGATTCTTCTTTCCATTCTTCTTGGTTTTTGTAATCATACGTCACTTGTCTGTAGTACTTTCCAGAAATAAAGTTAGAAAATTATAAGATTTCTAAAGTGAAGTGTCAGTGAAGGCAAGATTTTTCCAAGAATTCTTTATATGAAATGCAAACAACAAATAGCCACATCAAACCTTTTGTGCACATCACAAAAAGACTTTTTTTTCTTTCTTGGGATTTATAGCCCATATGGTTTCTGTACTCTAGGTTTAGAAGTTCTCTGCCTGTTACAAGTTTCTTTATTTTTACAATGCGTTCTTGGCTAAATTTAAGTTGGTGCTTCTAGGTCACTGTGACTAGCCTGAAGTCTTAAGGGAGAACAAAGTTCTTGTTGTTAACTTTCAAATAAATTCAAATGCAAACCCCTCTTCTGGTCGATCAGATAGCTCTCATTCCGGCTGATGAAGTGGAGTTTTGAAGTGAAACCATGGTACCTTTTATAATAATAAAACATCCTATTGATTTTGTTTTGAAGAACATCGGAAACACAAGATACTAATTCTCAATGGAAGTAACTTATTTTCTTAGCTTCTTTGTTTTTACAGGAGTAGTATGAATTCTGTTGGATTTTTTTAGGAAGTTTTTTTTTCTCCTCTAACATAAACATACTGTTTCTTTGTAGGGCGCCAATGCCTCTGCTTTGGAGAAAGAGATTGGTCCTGAACAGTTCCCTGTGAATGAGCATTATTTTGGCTTGGTCAATGTAAGTGAATCTTCTGTGTTTGGAATGCTGTTTTTTAATCCATTTTGAATTTAACAGGATTCTCTGTTAGAACTATGAGCACTTCTGAGTTAAAGCAGGCCTCTGCACAGAGTCCTGCAATATGGTGCCATGCCTTGCTGTTAACCAAGATCTAAATTTCATCTTAAATACAGAAAAATATGTATATTTATTATAAAGTCTTTGAGAGAAACCTTCCTACTCAAGTACATTTCTAATCATAGGATTTTAATATTTAGCTGGAAAGGACATTAGCTAATAAAGGGTGTACATTGTTCGTATGCTTTTCCAGAGAGAGAGAGATTTGATTTTACAGTGATGCTGCAGTGTAGGGGCACCTTGAAGGAAAACGTGTTGCTTTTCTAAAAATGTATTATGGGTGGGATTAGTGGAAGCTCTTCTATGCCAGGACATAGCCAGGACATGAATGACATTGACTTGGTTGATAATTTTCTTACATGTAGTAATACTTTTTTTTTTTTTTTGACAGCCTTGTGTAGCAGTGAATCCTCCTAAAAAGATGTGGGTTTTGTATCTGTCATTTTGTATAGCTCTGACTTGGCTGGGATCTGTTGGGTGGTAGGAATTGTCTGCCTAAATTCACTGTGAGAGAGCGGAGCACTGGTGTTGATCTCCAGTGGTTCTGGAGGAGGAGGGCAGCTGTTGTGCCTGTGACATCTTTTACCAATGAATATAGGAAGTCAGTGAACAGAGGTTCTGGGGCATCTTATTTATGATGTGAAAACACAATTTTGGCAAAACTCACTAGAAACAGAAGTATACTTCTGTTTACCGGTCATCTGGGTACATTTAGCTGAAAACTGAAAGATGATCTATCTTTTGATGCACCAAGTAAGGTTAACATAGCTACTAAAATGTTATTTGTTGCAGCTCGTTAGAAACTCATCTGATTGACTTCTGTGTGGGTTTCTAGCAGTTTGTGTTCTCAGACACCAAACTATCTAAACACGTGGAGTTGTGTTGCTGAAGTATGGTGTTAATGGCCATTCCAAAGCTGCTGAGGTTTGCACCGTAATGAGAAAAATGGAAGGCATCTCCAATTGTAACATAAATAGCAGAGCGATGAATAGTGCGAAGAGGAAAAATAGCGTTCTAAAAATAACCAGAATTATTATAACCACATCCAGTCTCTGTTTTGAAGGACAAAATATGACTAATACTGTTGTGCTGTAGTCCCTGCAACCAGTTTCTTGAGGATGATCATTTTCATGCTGCTGTTCTGCAGAGCTTTTGCCTCAGTTATTTCTAGTTCTTGCACGATTTGAAGTTAATTGGAGCACTCTACAGAGGGCAGTTTCAGAACTTCAGCATCAATACCTAGTAAATCTGTGGTTGCACCGCAGACAGAATCGGGTGTTGAACCCGTGGACAGTGGTGGCTTCAGATTTTTTTTTTTTTTTAGGAGTTGGTTTCTGTTTGGATCAGTGAGCTGAGCCAGCTTGCCTGCAGTCAGACTGTTGCTCAAGTCGCTGCAGAGTGAGTGGGAGAAGGCTCTGGCTGCTGCTGCTTGGCAGCCTGTCCAAACAGAGTACCTGTAACGTTGAACTGAAGTGCAAGAGGGGCGCAACAGCGTTTTCATTGTAGAATTTCATCTCAGTTTTCATGTATAAAAGCTTCTATCTTAAAATGAGCCTTCAAACTTAATTTTTACATTGAAAGTGTAATATTTTACAAGTTCTTATGAAGTTAGGTAACGATGACTCTGAATACAGTCAGTTTTAAGCAAAAAAACCTTACGTTTTGACATCTATTTAATATATTTATTTATACCAGAGAAGCCATGACAAAAAGATTTTAAAACCTGCGTGTTGGTACCTGGTTTTCCTTTGTGTTTTAGGTCACAATAGACTTTATGCAGTATTTGTGTATTTGATCTGTGCATGTAGCTGCGGGTTTGGAAATATTCATCAGCCCATTGAGAACTGCCTTGCCAACTTGTTTTTCAGGGTTCTTTTGAAGACAAATGGTTAGAGCCCTGTTCCCCCCGACTTGGACAGAATTTCTAGCAAAGTTAAGGTCGTGATTGGAAAGATCGGACTACTTTGTACTGCTAAACACAAACTGATTGCAGTTGACAAGTGTGACGCTGCTATGTAATACTGTCTATTTGTGGAAAACTCTCTAATACAGAGAAGGATAGATCAATAAATGAGATATTCAGAAGTTTCCCAAAGCCATGAATTGCTTGAAGTTGGAAGGATTTTGTTCTACAGTGAACAAAGTCAGAATTGCTGAAATAAAATGCATCACATGGTCTTTTTGTAAAGTACTTGGCATGCTGTAAAATATCTAAAATGCTAACATGCAAGATACTGATTTCAGGAATAAAAGTTCTTCCGCATTACTTTATGTGAAGGTGGTAGCAAACGAAGAGAATTGAAATACAGTTTAGAAGGACATTTTTAAAACCTAAAGCATGCCATAAAGCGAATTTTTCACCGTATCACTTTGACTAATGCAAAGCATCTTTCATCTTACTGGTCAGGAATATTTAAAGCTACTTGGATGGAATTTTCATTCTTTAACTCCATTAACTCTTCCATTTAGTCTGGTTCTAACAATTTCTCTCTGTTTGGGTAGCGTCAAAGCAGGACATGTTTAACCAGTTGACTTCATGCTCTCCGTGAATACAGGCCTGAAATCTCATTAACTACTTGCTTTGTCACCTGTTTTGACTTAAGATGTGCCTTCACCACCACCTTTTTTTTTTTTTTTTAAGATGGCTAATTTCTAGTTTCTTCTGTCTCATAATTTTCTGGGGTTGTTATAGACAAATTTACTAGATACATCATCTGGGAACAATAATATTTAGTCAGACTTTCAGTAGTTCTCTTGACCGTTTTCTCTTGTATGCAAATTTATTTACCATGATGCTTACTTGTTTTCGTAGGTCACTAACAAGCATGTGAGTTAGGTTCTATCCTAATTCACCTGTTTGTTCAGCTTGCATATTTGTTTTCCTCATGTCAGTAAGTTTTAACAGTTGTTCTGTGTTGTTTGCATATGGCATAAATTAATGTTAATGTAATTAGATGCTGTAACCTTTTTAGCTGTATGAATTAAACTGTTAATTTTCTGTTTCAGTCAGTAAACCGATTATTAACTTAAAATCATTCTGCTGTGGTAATCACACCAAATTTTGGTGAACAGTAGTGGCCATATTCTCCGAGTACCACTTAACAAAATAATCTGTGTTCTGTAGTCAGATTTGTATGTTCATTTTGTTTATTTAAAATATTTTGCTCTTGGTGCTCTTGAGATGCAGAGTCTCAGTAACAGAATACCTGGGGACTGACAAACCCAGAATTTGTTTCACTTTTTGGAAGCAACAGCATTGTACAACATAATTGCATAAGAAATTGCAAAGCAACAACTCAAAAAATCATGGTCTATTTCTTGTAGATGATATGCTAATATCTCAGTGGTCTGAGTGTTTCTTCTTGTTAAGGAATGCGGAACGCTGCCTCTGGAAGTTGTTATCGCTGTCCTCCCTTCTCTAAAATGACACCGCCTTCAGATATGGCAGATGTAAACCAGCTGCTCTTTGAATTTGCCTGCATCATGTACTTTTCATAATATTTCATTATAAACAGGAAATATTTAACATATACCTTGCTAACTATCTCTAGGGAGTACTTTGTGTATCTGACCCAGGCAAATCTAACATCGTGCCTTGAGCTCTTGTTGCTGTAGCGCAGCTGAGACACAGTGATGCTGACGGATGCTGTCTCTTCCTTGTTCTATTTCTTGTCCCTCTCTTCTGCGGTACCATTGGCACCTCCACATCCATATCAGCAGGATCTCCCTTATCAGGATTAGCAGCATGCTGTGTCTCCAGAAGTTTTGATTTTGCGATGAGCCCTCAATTGAATTTTTTTTTTTTTGTCAGTGGTTTCCTGGTATTTTTTTTTTTGTGCCCAGTATCGCTGTGACTGTTGTCTTCTCTTCCTTTTCTTGCTGTTACCAGCTGGGATGATACAAGGATGAGTCTTTTACACCATGCCTACTAGTATTTCCCCAGTAAATGAACTCTGACAGACGACTTTTCCATTTTCAATATGTGACGTTCTTAATGAGCAACCTCTTCCTGTTATTACTTTTTAACAGACCTAATATGAAAACGTTTGTTTTCCTTTTGTTCTGTTTTAACCAGTTCGGCAATACCTGCTACTGCAACTCAGTCTTACAGGCACTTTATTTTTGTCGTCCATTTCGGGAAAAAGTTTTGGCGTACAAAGTGCAGCCTCGAAAGAAGGAAAGCCTCCTGACATGCCTCTCTGATCTCTTCAACAGTATTGCTACGCAAAAGAAGAAGGTGGGAGTCATCCCACCCAAGAAATTTATTTCCCGATTGAGGAAAGAAAATGGTAAATGAATAAATGAAATTTTTATGCAGATTTAAGCATATGAACTGTAAACACAACCTCCTTTTTAAGCGAGTCCAAGTGATCAAGTTTTAGCAGATTTCTGGAAGATTATTGAACTCCTGTTTGCGGTGTGAATTTCACCACCTCTGTAGCATAGGAACAGAGATTGTATCAGAACTGTGCTGTGTCATAGGAGGATTATCTGGGTATCTGCGTTTCTGTACTTGCTTAGACCAAGTACAGAGTGTGTACGCAAGTCTCAGCACTCCAGTTATCCCACGCTGGCATCGTGTCCTGTAGAGGTCTGCTGCAAGTCAGCACACCTCGAGTCAGTGCTAGGACCTGTCATGGGCTGGACAGACCTCGTGGAGTCAGTCAAATCTGAACTCTCTAAGGAGACTTAACCACTCTTAGCCTGCTTTCTTAACGTTTGCGGCAGAATAAATCCCTTACGATGAGAACTAGTGGTTAGTTCCCAGGGCTGCTTAGTGAGGAAAAGTTCTCTGTGGTGTTTTACCATCTCTGCTTGAACTTGAAAAGAGAACAAACTTAGAGTAGGGAATTTTTGCCGCTTGATGCTGGACTTAATGAACTAATGGCCCAAGGCAGCACATCTGTATTCCTTTATTTCTCTCCTTCCCCAAAGAAAAAACCACAACAGCCCCTCCGCTCCCCCCACCAAAGCAGTCATGGTTTTCTACGGTTCCAAGATACGCCTTTATGTTATTTTTCAGCTGCCTGTTTCTTGCAACCTGAGGAACAGGTGAGGGTAACCTAACATCTGTTGTGATAACACCAAAATACAAGTCTTCAAAGGCTCTTAACAGTGTAACCCACAATTGCATAGTAGGGTAGAGAAGGGGGAAGGGCACGCGCTGATTGCTGAAAGCACAGTAACTTGATATTATGAAGTATCTGTATTTTTTCATTCTCCTTGATCTCTTCCTTTTCAGAATTATTTGATAATTATATGCAGCAGGATGCACACGAATTCCTAAACTACCTACTTAACACTATTGCTGACTTACTACAAGAAGAGAAAAAGCAGGAGAAGCAGAATGGCAAACTGCAGAACGGCAGCATTGAGAGTGAAGAAGGAGACAAGACTGATCTGACGTGGGTCCATGAAATCTTCCAAGGAACACTAACCAATGAAACCAGATGTCTTAACTGTGAGGCTGTACGTTTAAAAAAAAACAAACCTCTTAGGTTTTTCACAGGTTCTGGATCAATTTCCCTAATACTAAGCACACTTTTTCATTTATTAGGATAGATGAAATTGCACTCTCTCTATTAAAATATGGAGCATAGCCTATTTTATGACTGTATCACCTCTATGTTCAAACCAATACACATTAAGGTATGTTTCTCAGAAAAAGCATAGTGTTTTTTCTGTTCCTCCTTCCTGTTTCCATCAAGGCAGTCGGCACCTGGCTGATATGAGCTGCCTTTTTGTCTTCATGTTATATTTCCTGTGTCAGTGATTGATAGTTTGTGTTGTGTTTCTACATGAGAGTTGCTCACTATTCATTTACCTCTGGGATTGACTGAATTTCTTGAACTGGGAGTCTGTGCTGCTTGCTGCTGGTCCATAGCCGCTTTATTTGAGAGCAAAAGAAGTGCACAAAGTCTAGAATTAGAAGAATCACACCACCTTCAGACCAGGAATTTGTAGTTAGTCATGTGCTATGTCTGATTTAATATTTCAAAAAAAAAAAAGAAAACCTAAATGTAGAGAGAAAAAAGAGAGAAGTGATTACAACTGACATGACTGTTCTTGGCATTTTAAGTCTAAAATTATGACTATATGGTGAATAGAAGTTCTAAAAATGACATTAGTAAGATTCTGTCTCGGGGATTTTGAAATTAAATGTGACTGTTCCACAAATGGAAAGATGGTTTCCTAACTGCTAAACCCTTTTAATTGAAAACCCGTCTGCCTGTTTCTGCATTTCCTGTAAGTATTTGCTGTGAAATTCTGAAATGCAGCAGAAAGCTGTATCAGTCTATAAAGCAGAGTGGAATACAGTTAAAGCTTCTCCAACTCTGAGAGCTCAGAGTTGTTAAAAACTTGTTTTTGTCAGTGAAGTGAGGAGATGTGTCTTGAAGTCTCAAGGGGGAGAGATGTTTTGCAAGAGAGGTTTTTGGGTTTGTTTTGTTTGTGGGTTTTTTCCTGGGTTTGGGATTTTTTTTTTTTTTTTTTTTATATTTCTCTGGATTTCTCTGGATTGTAACAACACATCAGATTATGTCTTCAGTTTTTGTTTACCTCAAGAAAGGGCCTCTGTGTGTGTGTATATATTTATTTTTTTTATCACAAAGGTCTCTACTTGCAACGAGGACATTGCACCATTCCAGAAATGGTTAAAAGAAATCTGCCAGTTCTAAACTGCTATGAAATATTTCTTATTATTTTTTTCAAGCTGGATTGTAACAACACATCAGATTATGTCTTCAGTTTTTGTTTACCTCAAGAAAGGGCCTCTGTGTGTGTGTATATATTTATTTTTTTTATCACAAAGGTCTCTACTTGCAACGAGGACATTGCACCATTCCAGAAATGGTTAAAAGAAATCTGCCAGTTCTAAACTGCTATGAAATATTTCTTATTATTTTTTTCAAGGTTAGTAGCAAAGATGAGGACTTTCTGGATCTATCGGTTGATGTGGAACAAAATACATCTATTACACACTGTCTAAGGTAAACGAAAATATTTGGGAGTGGAAAAAATACCTGCCCTTGGTCAGAAGGAAAGAGCCTGGCGTAGTTGCTGTGTTCTGCAACTGTTGTAGGCTTTGACTGATTGTAAAATATGTTCTTTTCAGAGTGCCGTTCATTTTATCGTGGCTTTTTGAAGCTGCTAGTTTCCTAGTGGTTATCAGTAGTTAATGAGTACAATGATTTCTTAGTGGTATGTAAGATTGATTTTCACTTTCTTTTGTGGGGATTTTAATTTGTAATGTCATATAGTCCAGTTTTATCAAAACTAAACATGATATGTTTGGTTTCATAAGAAATTCATCTTTATTTTAATATTGTTACTGCATTTCAGTTGTCTGGTCCTGGTGTTTGTGGTCAAATTTTTTTTTGTGGATAGAAATTTACTCCTTGTGTTTGACTGCTGGATCCAAGGCTTATCAGCTACTAGGATACTGCAGGTTGCTTCTGGCTTTTTAATAGTTGGTAATGGAGGTGTAATTGCTAGGAGCTGAAAGATAATCCAGACTTTGCCTAGTCAATGGCTAATGGCTGTAGGTCTTAACATTTAATGTCTGCCACTAAAGAAAGCCTGGAGTGGCTACCTCTGGAAACAAAACACTCACCTTATTACTGTTTGTTACCTGTCGTGTTTGACTCCTGCCCAGAAAGTGTAACATTTGAGGGTCTAATTTCCAGATTTTTCCAGCTGAACATTGATACTACATCCCAAGACTGGGACAAATACACCTAAAATGTGCTTGGGAGGTATAAGCCATATGAGTAAGAAGAATTTCGTCTTCTGTGTGTACTCTGGGTTTTTTTCAGCATTATTAGCAGTAACTTTAACTGGATGGTCTGACTGAATATCCCTGTTTATCTGACTTCTTTCACTTCCACAGAGGATTTAGTAATACTGAAACTCTATGCAGTGAATATAAATACTATTGTGAGCAGTGCCGCAGTAAACAGGAAGCACAGAAGAGGTAAGGTTCAAATATTCAGGCTAATGTGTTCTCTTAAAATGGGCAGCTGTTGGAAAAACACACCTTGTGAATTCAGTAAAAAGATAAATGTAAGATTGTTTAGGTCTGTGTTTGATGGGGAAGGGAGTAAGGAAAAGAGGTGAGACCAAGTAACTTTGTGGCAACCTTATCAGAGAGAAATGAAAAGATTGATTTTGTATTCCTCCCAGAAGAGCTTATATCTGGTGCTTCCAGACATTCGCATTTTCCCCGGTTAGCATTAATCAGCTTAAAGGCACGGAAAACCACCCCATCTGCTTTCACTATGAATACTGTACACACAAATCTTGGTTCGCATCTCATACTTGGTCACAGCCAGAGCAGCAAGACAGATTTATTCCATCTCTTTCCTCCCATTGGTGGGATGAAAAGTTGATGTCTTCGACGTGGACAGTTGTCCTGCATTCAGATGTCAGTTGTGTAATTCATCTTTCAGAGTAAATATTGCCTTTTCTCACTGGAATATATGTGAGAAAAGCAGCCTTTTGAAAATCCTCATCAACATTTTAGGTGCCTTTTAAGAAGCTGCTGCTTATTGAAACTGTTCTTGAACAAAGCTTTGGTTTAGGTGATCTGCTAATACCTTGTTCTTTGTTTAACTTATTTTTGTGGTTCAGAATGAGAGTGAAAAAGTTGCCCATGATTCTAGCTCTGCATTTAAAAAGGTTCAAATACATGGACCAGCTGCATCGATACACCAAACTGTCCTACCGTGTAGTCTTTCCCTTGGAGCTCCGGCTCTTCAACACTTCAGGAGATGCTACGAACCCTGACAGAATGTATGACCTCGTGGCTGTGGTTGTTCACTGTGGCAGGTACGTTGGGTCTGTGCTTTGTGGACCTTCAGTGCCTTTCCTTGAATCGGAAAAGGCGCGTCTCTCGTCCGTATGCCATTTTGGAACAGTGCAGTGGCTGACAACATGGGAGCACGCTAAGCAGCGTCAGAGCTAGTTCTCCAAAAGTAGTTAAAAAAAAAAGGCATTTTTGTCATCTTTTATTACTTTTTTTACTGTTTTAAATTTTGCTTTCTGAGTATACAGTCTAAGATTTGCTCTTTTATCAGCTGTCAAATGCGGTGGCGATTCAGACAGGTTGTTTGAATTCTGTGATTCTGTTTCTTTGAGCTGCAGCAAAGTAAAAGCAGTCTTTTAAAAAAAACCAAACCCAGCAAAAAATCCCAACCCCCTAACCTTACTTTCCAGGAAAGTGAAATGAAATAAAATAAATCTTGGAAAAACACTTAGCTAAAATAGAATAAAGTTACATTTCTCGTGTTGCTACTTGCTAAACCATGGAAGTTTTTTTAGCAGCTGGTGCCACCACGTGGAATGAATTGTGTACTGCTGAGTTTAAAAACCGTCCTTTTTATTAATTTTTTTGTGGCTTTAATTTTTAGTGGCTTTAATTCTGTTTTTAAAAGTAAAGAGGAACTATTTTTAAGTACTTTCAGGAAAAAAGCAGTCATGGAAGGAAAAATTATTTATAACCGCCTTGTGGAAGTGAGTTTTAAAGTGATAAGTTACTACGGCACACAAATGTTTTGAAAGGACACTAATATTGCGTAGATTTAGTCTAAATAAACTACATATAATTCTAGGTGATTTCTGTCGTGGTACAGTTGTGCTATGTTTTATTTATTGTTATCATTTTAAGACCTTGTCCTATGCATTTTCTTCTGTAGATTCTTAATTTGGTATACCTGTAACTACACTCACATGTTTTGATGATGGTGATTAATAATTCAGATGTATTAAATGGCTTCGCTTTTTCTTCTCAAACCCGTTGTCTTATATAGGGCTTTTAGAAGTCCTGTAACTCTTCTGGTTTCATTCTTACTAGGAACTTACCGAAGGCTTAGGATAAGCTATATTTTCTAAATATTTAAGTTCTCATAAAACTTACTGTTTTAAGTATTTTGCTCTTACAGTTTTACTTTTCATTTAGTTGTTCTAAGCAGAGAAGTTTCATTCTGTGACAGATAATGGGTTTAAGTATATCTGCAATTGTGGAAAGGCTAGAGAAGTACTTTTTTTTCCCTAAAGCTGATACAAATATAAGATTTTTTTTTTTTTTAAAGCCTTATGTGGATCCTAAGTTAAAAAGTAAAGCTGGGTGACAGGGATATTTCCCTCCCCCCCCAGCCATGTGCCTGGACTGTTCTCTCAGAATTTGATGTTAATAGATTGATAGCTCATAGTTTTCCATCCATATAGTTCAGTATCTCAAACCGGTACCTTTTCAGGCAGTCTGCCTGCATTTGCTCTGCAGATCCACCTCCCTTTGAGCTAGGTCGTTTTGTTGTCCCTTTCCTTCAAGGTAAGCATTCAGGATATAGGCGACAGAGGTGGACTGGGAAACTGCCACCAGAAAGTGGGAAAAGTGGTCACAGAAAGCCTGTCTGCAGTCAGCCATAGGCTAAACCACCCTAATTTAAATAATGAAACACCTAAAAATATAAATAAATATTAATATCTTATTAGAAATAAATTAAAAACATCTGTGCAAATAAAATATTTCAGACGGGCAGTTATTAATATTTCTGAACTGTGGTCAGAATACTTAGCAGTGGCAAGTGCAACAAAACAGTGATTGAAATAACTGGCTTTTAGTCTTGTTTTTTGAAATATGTGATCAACTTTCTGAAATATTTAGGAAATTGTGTATTTTGAATATATTGTATTTGGCAAGCAGCAAAGACAGAAATTTTAATTCAAGCAATTTGACAGTGTCTAAGAACCTAAACAATATAGTATTAAACAACATTAAGAGCTGGGACATCTAACTCTGCCAGTAATAGCTGGAATCATGTGGGAGAGCAGCTGTCCTGCCTTCATAGGCACAGGAGTAATAAGTCTTCAATCTTTTTTTTCTGGCAGTGGTCCAAATCGCGGACATTATATCACCATTGTGAAGAGCCATGGCTTTTGGTTGCTGTTTGATGATGACATTGTAGAGGTAGGTATGCTTTTACGTGGTGAAAATAAGTGTAGACAGCATCACTTTCCAGCTTTGTTCTTGTGTCTGGGATTAGCTTTTGCGCCCATGAAAAAAAACCCGGTGCACAGAGTAATTCTGGTCATTTCAAAAGTCAACTTCAGCATTTTAGTGCATCTGCATTACAGAAGTAGTATGGAGAAGGGCAAACGAACCCGAGGGCTGGATTGGCACCTCAGGCATGGGGTGCTGTGCCCCTGGTCAGGCTGAAATACCACAATTGGCTTAGTCAAGGTCTGAAATGCTCTTATTTGAGCCCAACTTTGGGCTCCTTTTTGTTGCTAACTTGCTTTGTGCTAGTTGCATTTCATTGCTGCATTTAAGAACTTCTGACCTTTTTTTGTAGGCAGTTTTCCCCAACAAGTTGTGTAGAAAAACTGTTAAGAAAGATTTGGGAGACTGTAGTAAGGTCCTGAGAGTATACAGCGATGTTTGGGCTATTTGCAATAGTGTTTTAACAGTCTGCTCGACCAGATTTTTCCTTAACTTTTTTGCTAACATATCTGTAAAGACTACTATTAAAAAATATTTCTGTATCCGTGTATTTCACATAATTATTAAACAAATATCAAACAGTAGAACAGATACCATAGCAGAACTGCTTTTTGTAAAGATGAGAATGTACTGGTTGCCTCCGAGATCTCATGGTCAAAGTTAAGGCCTGATGCTAAGTGTCAAAATAGGTACAGCAAAATCCTTGCTTGGGTTGAAATAAGGACGATGTAATACATTTCCCCCCCGCCCCCATAATCTTTGCTTAGCTTTGAGCCTCGGGGGTGACTTGCCTGGTGGTTTGGATAGCCTGTGTGACAATGAAAAGTTGCCTTTCTCCCACTATTATATTTTGAGGGTTATTTTCCTCTATTTCTGTCATGGACAAAGTACGTAATTGTGTCAGCTAATTTTAGAAATAGTGTTCACTTCAATATTTTTAAATGCGAGGGTTCACTTTCTTTGCTGTCCAGGACACAAACTTTACATCTTAAAAGTAGATGTAAAATAACCATCTTGTTCTATATTTGTTTTCTGTTAGTCACTTCTATGTTGTATCTTAGCTTTAAGGTCAAAACAGAATTTCTTCTTATCTGCAAACACTGTTGGCACTTTTATAGATGTGCCAAAGCATAGCTTTTAAATATGCGTTGTCTATTATTGGACAGTAAATTCAAGGAGCTGTCACAAGTAACATAGAACGCCGTTCCTCTCTCCTGGAGGGATGCCTTTTTGGTTTTTTCCTTTAAGTTGCTTTTCTAACTTTAGTGATCGATTTCCTTTAAGTTCATCTTATTTTACAGAGCTTGTCTGAAATGCTGTAAAAATAAAGCTCTGTGCTCTGAAATTTCTACTTTTTGTGTTTTCCATGGTTGAGTTTGCACTGTCTTGATTAGGATTAGCAATGTAGCCCTGTCCTGTAGCGCTGCCTCTGCCCCAGCTGCAGATCCAGAAGTTTAAGATTCCTTTTCCTGCTAGAATATTCTCCCTGGCTGGCGTTTGCATGTGGCCTTTGTTTTCTGTGAAATTTAGGCTTTGTTTTTCCTACTGGTGGAGGGCATGAAGAGTTGCACACCAGAGTTTTGCAGGAGTCGTTTGAGGTCATTGGCCCTTTCTGATGAACAGTTGCTCCTTGACCTGCTGGGAAGAGTGTAGCATAAGGATTCCTGCTGCTGACTGTCCATTGTAGCTGCTCCTGACTTCCAAGCGTGCGATGAACGTGAAGCTCACCTCTCGGCTCCCTCTGAGCTGACCACCCTTTCTCTTTCCTCGACCTTCTGGAACTCACCTGAATTTCTGGCGATTCGGTGATCAAGGAGAACAGGATAGTGGCGACTGCTCTTCCTCTCCTGATGCTACAGGCTGCTGGAAGAAGTAGCTGCAGTTTTACTCATCTGTTCTCTCTCCCGGCTTAGTCATCAGCTCTTGAGAATTAGTTCCTTACTACTGCTGTAGGCTATTCACTGAAAAAGTGAAGTCAAGCCTACTACTTTTGTCAGTTCCATCTGCTGCCTGAAGAGATTGAAATATCTGCTCTGAGCTTGACCAAGTGCTGTTTTCAAACGGCTTGTGGTTGACCATAAGGTGACACTACAGGAAATATATTGCTATGTATGACGTTACAGAGGTTGTCCTCTGAAAATGGAATGGCAAAAAACCCCAAAGCCCCCCTATAATGTGAATTCTGTGTAAGTGTCTGGGTTTAGGGCTAACCACAGAAGCCTTCTACTCTTCAGAGACTCTTAAGAACCTGAAAGCAGGTGGTTTGTTTGGGTTTTGTTTTTTTTTTTTTCAAGCTTTGGAGGCTTTCCATTCGAGATATGGAACTGGCTGCGTAACAGAACAGGTATTAGTCAGCAGACTTAGAAGATGAGTCCAAAGCCCTTGTACCTGCATACAGATACCGCAACTGAAACAGAGCACCTTTTTCACTTAAATACAGTTAAAAATCTTTGTTGCGGTTTTGGCAAGTGATATGAATTGATGGCCCTGAACTGTCAATAGGAAGTAGTTTATCCTTATTACCTACTAAATGTCAGAAATGGTGAAGTCATATTTATTTATCTATTTGGAATTGGTTGGAAGGCCAACTTTCAATTAAATTGGAGATAGATGATAATCAAACATACTACAGCATATGTGAAAAGCAACTGCATCAAATCCAGGAGGCGAATCAGTCCAAATGGGATACTGCGCCAAGCAAAATTAATTGAGAAACCTGCGTAAATGATCTCTGGCTTGTTTGACATGTTGTCATTAGAGCAGCTAAGTGATACATCACAGTGACAATGTTTATCTGAAACAGAGAGGGAAAAGTGTCCATCCAGGGGGTTCTCCAAACTGAGAAAAGGGGGAGAATGATTGTACATCTTCAATATTTGTTCAGAGGTCTGCGGCATTCAGTTGAATGCTACGAGTGGTATGCAAGAAAAGGATTTGGTTTGGGGAACCAGAATAGTTGTCTGGAAATGACCAAAGGATATTTAAGCTCAGTTAACAGGAAAAATCATCTTAATGCCAGGTGAGGCTGCAGAATCCTAAAAGTGGCTGTGACACCATCAACTGGTTGTTACTCTAAAGCTGCAACTGTGTAAAACTTTGCTGTCCACAATAGATGTGGTCAGCTAAGGATGGGAAGAAGAGGGTCTGTATAATGGTCTTTCGGTGCCACTGTGTTTTCTGTGGGTAGTGAAATTGCAAAAGGAAGTCAGTTTTGCCGTGATGAAACTAAAAATATCTGTGGGATGAATTAATCCATATCAAATGTTTGAGCTGCATTCAAAATGAGTAGTGGAAATAGACTTGATTGCATGGCAAGTTAGTTGGGCACTTAAAACACGTTTGAGTTGTCTGCTAAATATATTACAAGGACTGAAGAATGTTCTTTTGCTATTTTTCTGTTAAAGTGTGTATCTAACAGTTTGTAGTAGATGTTATGTTAATAAATTGCGTGAGAATGCAAAAGCCCTCGGTACAGTATTTCAACTTCTCTGAAGTCCTTGAATGCAGAAGAAAGACAAAACAGCTGTTTGGGGGTTTTCCCCCCCGCCTGTGTCTTCTGGAAACTTCCTGTGCCTGGTTTATTTGTGCTTCAGAAGGGCTGGGAAAAGGATGGCCTAAGCTTGCAGGTTGTTTGGCAGCGCCGCTTAGAGCAACCAATGCTTTTGGTTTTGCTGGTGATGCTAAATTCTGCTCCACGAGCAGTGATTCAGGGCGCTGCCAGTCGGTTCTGTAGCTGAGGAGGCTCCTCGACGCAGTCATGGCATGGTCCCTTTCTTGTAGGGTGTAAGCACAAATTGGTCTCCGCTACTGCCTCTCGATGAAAGCAGGTGTTTAACCCAGAGCCTCTCGTATTCTGCACATTCCTTCGCTTCCTCAACTTCATTCCTTGGGGAATAAAGGGAGACTTCAGGCAAGTCTCCCTTTGCCGCTCCACAACGCATTCAGGCTACTTCAGCCTCTCATCTCTGTGGATCCAGAGTCCTAAAGGTATTTGAAAGTACTAAAGCACAGTGGAGTGCTGAGCAACGCAGGTCGTGGGGAGTGTGTCATTCCAGTGTTTGGTCCCCACGCTTGCTCTCCACCGGCTGCAGAATCACATTCGGTAACGTGAAGCCAGTCGTTCTCGGGAACGGGATCAAGACTGTAGAGCCTGCATCTTCAAAAGCCCTTTAAAATGCCCTACAGGCCTTGCTGGTTGGAGTATAAAATGAAAAACTGCTTTCCTGCGCATGGTTCACAACTTTAAATGTAAGCAGGCCATTTAATTGTATTAATACGGCTAATAATTTATTTCTCTTAAAACACAAACCTTGCGATAATATTCCAGTAGGCGTTGTGCCAGCAAATCCTAAGGAAGGAAAGCTCTCATGAGACCAGAAGATCATAATGGGATGAGATCCACAGATTTCACGGTATCATTACCAGTAGCACTTGCAGGACTTCTTGTGACCCACTTATGTCGAGAACTTTAAAATCTGGAGTTATTTTAGCTGAATGTTAAATCTGCTCAAGACAGTCTTTATGTACTCCCAACTGTACCAAAATCTTCTTTGCTGATCAGTGACTGCTTTTTTTCGTTTACGTTACAAACCTATAGTCGGGAAAGGTAACACCAGTCTGAATGAGAAAGCAAATATGTATGTGTCGTGTACTCTTTTAAGGATAGATTTTCACAGATCCCTTTTTTTGTAGTCCGCCTTAAGAGTGCATCACTTCTGAGAGGTTTATTATTTCATTTTCATTTCATTTTTTTCAATAGTGAATAAGGGTTTAAGTGGAAAAAAGTGTTTTGTTGTATTTGGTTGGATTCAATGACATTGAAATATTGCTGTATTAATACTGTGTGGCTTTCCAGCATCACCTCCAAGAACTGAAAATAATGCTTTGTCTGGGAAAGGGACTCTTAGGGCTGTGTTTTGACTGAGGCTAATTATAACTCTCATTAATTTTCAGAAAATTGATGCCCAGGCCATTGAAGAGTTCTATGGGTTAACATCAGACATTTCCAAAAACTCAGAATCTGGATATATCCTCTTCTACCAGTCAAGAGACTAAGACAAAAGATACATGTGTACAAATAAAAGGAAAAAGGGATCAAGATATGTCCGAATAGAACATATTTGTGACAGCAGAAGCAGTTCCTCGTTGTTGCTGTAGGACCAGAACAGATGCAGCGGGGCGAATAAAGGTTTCTCCCTGCCATTGCGTGGAGGATTAGTGCTGACTGCCGTAACAAGAAGAGCTTTTGTTCCAGTTTTCTTTCTGGGCTTTTTTTACGTGCTATCTTCCAAAATCTGTGTTACCTCTACTCGAAACCTGGCTGCTTACTTGTTCATGAACTGAAGAAGAGATTTAAAAGTAGCATTGTAGAATTTTTACCATTTAATGTTGGCCTGAGGCTATACCTTGGTTTCTACCATCGTTGTTTTTCTGTATTTTAGCAGAATGATTTCAATATTCAGTGTCAGCTGAAGGCATATTTTAGGATATGAACAGCAGCTGGTTGCTGGATATTTTTGGTGACTCAGACTTGAGAAGCAGTACAAAGCTAAGACATATTGGAAATGTCAAGTCTGTAATTTTTATAAAAAAGCAGACAAAACCCTCTCTCTGCAGCATTGTACATTTCCCCGTTGTGCATTATCCTGGTTTTAGATAACACTAACAGCGCTGCTTCTTTTTATGTTTTTATTTTTACTGTTCTGTTTCTCCTGCAGAAGGTATAGAACTTTGTCCATACTCACCCTAGTCTGTTGTGCATTTTTCTTTTGAAGCAGAAGTTTTGACTCGGAGCCACATTGCTGCAGATTTAAGGGGAGCAGAAAAGCAGTTACCTTGGGAAGAATATGTCTGGCAACCAGTTGCTGTAGGAAGTCTGAAGTTACAGTGTTTCTTGGAGCTATTGCGTAAACCAAAAGTGCCCTCATTCTGAAACAGGATCTGTTCGACATTTCATTCAATACCTGGTAAACTTATGCAACTAGCATTTTGAATCTATGCTAATACACAGAAACAGCACTAATTGTGAAGGGTTAACCAAGGGAAGCATTATTTATGTAACTAAACCCGTTGTTCTTTGTCTTCAAGATAATGAACACGTCAGAAGGAAAACCAACCAACCCACCCAGACATTGCCTTGCTAAGTGTTCCTCATCGTCCGCTGGTAATGTTTGTATTGATCTGGGAATCATAACATCCCCCTAAAAATGCTTCTGATTGTTTTACCTTTATAGGCCTTGCTTAACAGGAGAAATGGTTAGTCTTTTGAAGACTGAAATTAAGTAATTATCCGTTATGTGTGTATATATTATAATCTCAAGGATAACGAGAAAGAAAAGACTAAGGAAGTTTGTAAGAAATCTCAGAAAATCTTCTGTAGTTTTCTGTTTGAGAAGTCCTGTTGCCGTGCCAAAGCTTGTCACAGCTGGCTCTAAACTACCGGTGGAAATGAGTACTTTCCTTCCTTCATCTTGTTAGGTGGCAGAAGAGCTGTCCTCTGCGTGGTTGTTCCCAGCACAGCCCTTCATGGTCTATACCCGTGGTTGTTGTTCCTGAGGACATTTAACTGATGCAATTCTGTGGCTTGTACAGGATAGAAAATATTTTACCAAAATATTGTCCTCAGGAAAACAGCATTTCACCAACAGTTCCTTGTGGTGGCTGTATGTGTGTTTCTTCTTGTCATGACCAGAAACATGATGTTAGCAATTAACTCCTGTCTTCAAAATGCAAATTTATCATTACCACTCTGTTCCAGCTGGGTACGTGTTCCATTCTCCTGGCACATCTCCTCTTCCAGAAGATAAAATATGGACATTGGATTTTTTAATTATTTTTTATTATAGAGAGTACTGTCGTTTTAAGATGCATATTCAATAACAGCAAACGTTCTTGTCATCTTGTTCCTATTGTGTGAGAATTGTTCCTGGCTAAGAGTCTTCTCCCCTTGTTCACACACAAGCTGTGAGTCCTCTCTGGTGGCGCTACCAGAAGCCTGTCATCACCAAGTCTTGCAAAAAATGGAGAAAAGAAAAAAAAAAAAGAGAGCACTGACTTAAAAATAATCTAAACAGTAAATACAAAAATTAATGTAGTACACGAGACATGTATTTTGTATATCTGGCGAGACGTTTTTACAAATAAAATACCTGACTGAGAGATAATATTGAAAGATATATACTATAGATTAAAAACTGTTAAAAGTGCACTTTTGCTACAGATTTATAAGGAGACTAAAAGGAATTAAATTGGAAGAGAATGATGTGATGTTACTTCTGTATAATAAATGACCCCACCTGTCTCCAATAAAGGTCATGTATGATCAAATGCACATGGCCCAAAGGCTTTTCCTTGAATTTCAGTCCCAGGCAGAAATAAAAGTACTTGGTTAGTCGCCCGCTCTCCGTAGCTTCTCCCTCTGTGCTGCCTGGCTGAGGGATTCTGGCTGCTGTTTTTCCACGTGTGTAACCTGTGCATAAGCACTTTAAACCAAGAGAAGTGAATAATTTGGTGTCATGGGTTATAATCGATGTGCTGGTAAACCAAGGAGAGGTTGCCCAGGGCCTTTTCCCCTGGCACCCATCGCACTGCCGGGATTCCTTCATCTCTTCATCATCCCCCGTAGCTCTGCCATTGCCTTTCCATGTGATGTCCTGCTTCCTTCTCCCTCTTTCACCCCTTGCTGTCGGACTCTGTAAGACTTTGTTGCAAATATTACCTGACTGATCTGGAACAGAGGCATTTAAAAGCAAAAATAGCACCATGTGCTTGGAGCTTTTCATGTTCATTGCAGGACAGGTCCCCGTTTCTGTGTCGTTCACTTTGCCTTAAGTTTTCCCCATATAAAAGCCTGCTCCCGTGAGTAGGAATTCACGGGACTAGGTCAGAACGCAACAGAAACAGAGGAGAAAGTGACAGCTGCTCTGTAAAAGCACATTTTAAATCCAAAATACGGTCTGGTCCTTGTCCTGCTGGGTCACACAGTAGCAATAAATAAATGTGGCTAATTTGAACTCCAGTGAATGTGAGCTTGACTTTCAGTCACTTTAGAAAGAGCATTGCCCAGAATTCATTTTGCTGAGGGCAAACAACCACAGTCGTAATGTCTGGAAGCAATGTGGGTTCAGCTTTGAGCACTGGTAAGGTGGGAGTGCTGCTAGGATCTGGGGGCTGGTCTTGTCACTTCAGGTCTGCTGCGGAACCCAGCGCTGCAGTGAGGGTGAAGACGGTCCCGTGGTTGTTATTTCGCTCTGCTAGCCCGCAGCTGAAGCAAAGCGCACCCCGTGTTCCTCTTTCGCTTGCAATTCGGCAGATCCTGCGGTTGTTTGCGGAGAGGCTCTGCCCTAAAGACCTCAGATGCAGAGGTTGTTTGTGGATTGGTGTTTGTGCTTGGCATGGTCTAGTTTACCAGCAGGAGCTTTTAAAGTCACCGTGCCAGCTCAGTTTAGGATATGTTTAAAACAAATCATATGTGATTGGTACAAGAAAGAAAATAGACGAACAAAGGCCCCTGAGACAAGTAAAACCTTCCCATTGTAGTCCTCAGCATTCATCAAAAGGAAACAATCCCCTGAAACATAATTAATTCTCAACATGTAAAGTCCTGCTAGCATTTACTGTTGTTGCACTAATTAACCTTCGGGCTACTTCTGTCTGCTTCCCTCTCGCTCCTGCAAAATCAGTCCCATCTACAGAATTTGTTTCTACCTACCCAGCCCGCCTTTGTTCGGTTGCTGACAGCAGCAGCCGGGTGAGGTTAGATGTCTGCAAGGAACAGTTTGCAGTAGGTAAGGTTGAAAAGGCAGCAGTATCGGTGGGACAGTGCGAGGGTCATCTTGTCCTTTTATGCTGAAGACAACGCTTTGAAAAGGAGAGTGGTTTGATCCTTTCTACCAGCCGGAGGTTCGTTTTAACGAACTGGCCTTTGTGCCAGCGTGTGTTGGAGGGGACGCGTTGCTGGCTCTGTCGCATCTGGGAAGCTGCTTTTGCTTCAAAGCAGAACCAAGCAGCCCGAGCCCGGGGTGAGGAGCTCGCTGCTGGAGGCCGGACATACGACGGCATCTGTCTCAGCGCTGGACCGGGCGACGTGGGCTGCAGAGCAGCCCGGGCGGCCCGAGCTGCCTCCCCGACCGGGCTGTGGCTTGTGTAAACGCGCTGTAGTGGGTGTGACATTGCCAAAAAGCACCTGGCAGGAGGGAGAAGGCTCTGGAAGGGAAGGACGAGTCGCGCCGTGGCAGCGTGTTGTTTGGGTTGCTAATAATGAGCACGTTTAGCAATTGTCCGATGTTTTAAAAACTTGTTAATACAAATAGCAAACGCAAACCACTGCGGTGGTTATCGGCACTTCAGCAGTATACTGAACTGTTTTCCCCGTTCATCTTTATCAGGAACAGTACAGTTTTTCAGATTTTTGTCCAGAAACAACAAAAAACAGTGGAAGATTATGAAAATCTGACTTTAAGACCTTGCAGGAGAATTGGTTACCTCCTGAAAAAGTTTTTCTTGAAAGTGTGATGATATTAGCTGGGCCTGGTGAGGTGGGACATGATGTTTGAGGAGGTGAGAGATGGCCAGCTGCGTTCCCCAGAGGGGTGACGGAGGGAGCAGCGGAGCTGCTGAAAACGATTCGGAGGCCGGCGTGTTGACCACCTCCCGAAGGAGAAAAAGAACGAGCTGCCGGGGGCTGCCTTGAGGTGGAAGGTGCCAGTGCAGGATGAAACAGAAGCTGTGATTGGTGACTCGTCCCTTCATCAGGGCACCTCGTGCCTTGCCAGGATACGTCTGGGGAGGTGGATCTGGAACGCGGGAGATGACGGGTGTGGGAACAGATGCTCTCCGAGACCCACGTAGCACAATGGGGACTGCACCCATGGGCCAGCGTCTGCCTGGACGGGGAAATAGAAGGTGGCTTAGAAACCCTGAGAGGAGGAGCTGGAGGACCAAGCTAAGAAAGGAGTTAGGAAGGTCTTAAAATATCAGAGCCCCCATGGCGTTACTCCAGATGCGTTGGCTCAGATTTGTGGAGGGCGAAATGCCTTTTGGTGCCACGCTGCTGAGAAGCGTCCTCTGCACCTGGATCCAGCCCCAGGGAGGTGCACCAGAGCCGGGGCATGCAGTGGAGGCACAGATTACACTGCAATTTGGGTAAAAAAAACCAGCTCAGGTGGTCCCAGCTGGGTCTTTGCTGGTGGTTCCCCAGTCACAGGTGTTGTGCAAGGGAAAGCTGCAAAGGAAGGGGAGGAGGGCAAGGGGCTGAGCACCACGTTTGGAGTTGGGAACATCTCCAGATCTACCTGGAGTCCGTTTCCTTTTCAAGCTGGTTTTTACCTGGAGGGTAGCTGCTTTAGCAAAATATATTGTGTGGGGAATGTAGAGGTGGAAAGAGACGTTTACGTGGCTTTAAGGCTTGGACTTTGAAAGGACAGGAGCTCCAGCTGGCGCGAACCTCAGGCTGCTACTGCCCACCAGACCGTGGCCACGGATGAAGAGACGGTCAAATGCAGCTGAAGCTGTTTCTTCTGTCTACCCCTAGGTGTAGACACAAAAGAAAATAGCTGGCAGTTTTCCGCAGGAGCCGATTAACTGTCTGTAATGAAGTGTCCTAATTAGCACTCTATTTGTGCGTTTGTTTCCTTCCGTGAGAAGCAGGCTGCATCTACCGCAACAAGCCACCGCAGCGCTGCGAAGAAACAGAGGAAGGGA